GTTATAAATTAGCTTTTGCGTCACGTTTCAAACACTATCAGTAAAGTTCATACAGTAACTTTTGGGCGTGTGTGCAAGTGTAAACAAGCTACACGATACCTGTCATGCGAATGACATTAATCATATTATTCCAAAATAATACGAGATAATATTGATTATTATATTTCCCTAAAACGTATGATAATATTACCACATTTACTATTTAAGTGTTATACTATGTATAAACTGTACAATTACACTGAATTGATTCTATTTCCTTGAAAATATACTTTTGAAAAATAAAATAAAAGTATTATGGATACCTACATAATTCAAAAAAAAAAAAAAAAATGTATTGTAACCAAAAATAAAGTCATAAAGGCAATGTCAATGCACTATTGAAATGGCGTTTGAATTCCATATCTATTACGGCAAGTTAAAATTTTCATTATAAATAGAAGTAATTTTTATTTGTATTCAAATTATAAATAAACACATATAATGGTATATTGTTAAACAAATGTATGAGTGTACGCAATTAACTCATAAAAAAAATTAATTATTCCTCTATAAAGAATAAAATACAATTTTAAAATTTAACAATGAAAAAACCCACTTTGAAATGGATATTAATTTTGAGAATTTTCACTAGGTATTATTGTATCGTGTTTTTAAAGTCCCTAGTTGACATACAATTTCCCATATTTATTAATAAATATTTAGTATGAGATATAAAATATAAAAATATTAGTATTTATGAAAATAATGAGTGGGTATTTTTAAAGCATATTTTTACTATAAGCGCATAAGTGTATGCATATTTAGTATTTTTTTAAGAGCATTAAGTTCTAAACCCTATTTATTATAAATACATTCCTACATTGTATCAAACTTTATGTGTACCTACCTACTTTTAAATAATTTATTGTACTCACTAATACTATCCAATACACTATTACATACATAATACATGTCATATATATCCAATGATGAGCATATCGTATGTTTTTGAAAAATACAGATTCTACTTTTAATGATGAAATTAATTATTTATCAACATCAAACAGATAAACACATGATGAAATAAAGAGCTAAATTAATTTTTAACATTTTATAGTTTAATTTTTGTTTATAAAATATGTATATAACATGTATAATTTAGGACTTTGTAATAGAAGATTGAAGAATAGTAAACATAACACTAGGTGCCTATATTTTATTATTGCATGTACTATCAATAGGTAGGCATTAAACAATATTTCAATTTAGATAATAATATATTATATATTATATGTATATTGTTACTGATAGATATAGTATATTCAAATCTTTTTTTCCTATATGGGCACTAAACTACTCATGCCAGATGTAAGTTGAATAAATTAAAATCAATGTCATTTCATTCTATTATTTATTATATTTCATAGTAAACACTTTTACATACATTAAAACTGTTTTTAACAAATGTCACTGTTGTATAAAATAATCTAAAGGGTAAAATAATAAATACAATTATATTGAAAAAAAATTACATAATATATATAATAAATAATAATTTAAATACAGGTCATTATATTTTAATAATAGTCTAGTGAGTCAATTATTTACAAAATAATAAACAAATTAAATAAATATATAATAAATTAAATCTGATTATATTAATATCAATTAGGTAACACACAAGTTTCACACACAAAAGGAAATAATATCTAGAAATATTCAAATTATCAATACGCATTTAACTTAGGGCCACAGATGAAACCATATATTATGTATGTCAATTTTAATAACTTAAGTATAATAAATGCACTTCACACAAACAAGCAAAGTGTAATATACAGTATACACAATAGCACAAAGACAAATAGAAATGTTTTTTGCCAAGAGACTGATAAAATTGACATACACGGATATGATATATCAATGGAAGTAGTAAAAAGAATAATTTACCAAACATGCTCAGTGCCCACTCATTTATTTTCTTCAATAATTTTTATTATTAATGAATTTCATAAAAATTAGAACTTCAATCATTCATAAGAAAATATTGTAACTCTTTGATTAATCATTTTTTTTTTAATTAATAATGAAAAATTTATAAAATACTTCAAATTTAATAACTATGATGTTATACCTAAAAGTAACCAACAAAAAATAAATTATACATAAATCAAAAAAATATTAACCAATAAAAAACACAAAAATAACCAAAATATTATGAAAATTATTTTAGGTCTAGTTGATGCTAATATAGATATTTGATAAAAGTTTCAAGTTCTTACAAGTAATTCATTTTAAAGTAACAACAAAAAAACAAAATTTAATTGGTCAAAAACTGATAATAATAAAAAATTCCCATTTTTTCTCAACTTTATAGTGTATTCTCCATTTATAAACTTTTTATCATGGAAAGTATCAATAAGATACAATTTATAAACAAAAACCACCCACTAAGTTGAAAATAAAATTAATTTTACTCCCTCAAAAGGTGATAAATAATAATAAATAAAATAAAACATATATATACTATTAAATCAATACATTCATCAATTTGTTTACTATCTAAAAGGAAAAAAGAAGTGAACATGTTTGATTAATTATCTTATATGAGATTGAAGTCCAGAATATCATTTAATGATTATAAATCAATAAAGATTGTATTTAATAAAATCATAAGTTGTAAATTAATTTGCTAAAATAAAATTTATAATAGTAGAACAAACACGTTAATACTTTCAATAAAAACAAAAAATATTACATAAAAACAAAAAAAAAAGCATAGTAGCTTAAAAGTATTTTTAAACAAACTAAAACTTTTTATTAATTAATAATTATATTTTGTACTTAAATTATTTTATTTTATTCAATAATATTATCAAAAACTGTAAAATTTGTATTTTAATACAATAATTAATAATTCATATTATTTAGAGTTTTGCCAACTAAGTTTTTATTGATAGTAAAGAACATAATATGAATATTAGATAATTTTCTTATCTAACACAGTTTTTATTTCAAATTTTAATAACATTTTTAAAAATATTATATTTTTTAGAATTTTTTAGTTTTTGAAATTCATATTCTGAAGTAGCATTTTGTAAAATTTTTCAGGATATCCCAGAACCACTCCACTTTGCTTACCTAAACTTTAAATACTTATAATTTATAAATTACTTCTCTGAATTTTAATTTTTTTGAATCGAAATATTTCAAAAATATGCTACTTTAAAATAACAAATTAACAATGTTTGTCATCATTCAAAAAAGTAAAAACTTAAAAATTGAAACTCAATGTAAAAAAAATTTTCAAAACTTTTTAAATACTGATTGCTGTTTATAATCATCCTATATATACTGTGTGGATAATATTGAATAATAATAAAAGTAAATGTATTAATTACAAAAACAGTTTATCTTTTACATTCTGATATAATTTCAAAAATTATTTTTTCCCGTTTACCACATAGACTCCTACTAATTTACAAACAAACATTGCATTTAAATATTATCCACAGGAATGAATATTTTAATTCACAAACACAAAAACATAATTTTGTTATTTACAAATAAACGTCACAAATAATTGATTAAATAGGTATGACTCCACTACTATTTTTCAACAGTTTATCATTATAATAAAATATTTAATTAGGAATATATAATTAATTCTATTTAATTTAAAATACACCTTCCACAAAATCTTTTATATGTTAGAAAGAAATATGAATAACTAAAGCAAAACATTCAATAGCTAGTTTTGTTTAGAATAAAATGGGAATTATATATTTATAATTGTGTGTTATACAGAATAATTTTTCATGAATTATATAATATTATTTTAAAAGATGAGCAATTTATGTTAATATGAAATAAAAAAAAAACACTAAAACAATTTTTTCAAATATACCCAGTGTCTTATAACATATTAGTATATTTTTTTTAAACTTATAATTAAAGTTGGTAACATATTAATAAATCTCATTGAGATAACACATGTGGAAGTCCAGAGTTATATACAATCAATAAAAAACTTAAATATTTTTAATAAAATCAATACTGATAAATTTCAAATAGTACTTCATTAACAGTTATAACATGAGAAATTTTTATGTAATTGTTAACATTTTTCAAATTTAAATCAAATCAGCAAACCAAAATCTATTTTTAGTAATTTATTTAAAAAAAAAATTTTAATTATCAATATTTTTATAATTTAATTTTTATTAAATTTTGAAATAAATCTTCTGTTATCCATAAAACAAAAATCAATTATGTTTAGTTTACAATTAATCAAGTATTATTACCTCGCACATATTATAATTATAGCATATCGTATTTGAATAGTATGTTTTTTTATTTTATTAATCTAAAACACGTAAAAAAAAACAACATTTAAATAATATAATGATAGTTTTAACTTATTTTCAAGTTTAACCTTCTTATTTAATAACAAAAAGTTATAACAAACTTTTCCCACTAATATTAAAATAAATAAAAAGCTGCCACAAAGTCGCATTGCATAACATTAATAACCAACAAACATTGACAATACATACTAAACTATTATTATTTCCAATAAACTTAAGCTCATTAAGGTGCATACAGAAATATTTATATGTTTTTAAAGAAATCACAAAAGTGAAATAGTTATGTTATTTGAATATTTGAATTAGTGTTAATGACGTCTAAACTGTTAATTATTAATTCATGAACATATATTAAATCTATCATGCTTAATATAATGCAATATTCAATAAAAACTTCTGTTTATATTCAAATAAAAGAAAATGTTTCAGTATAATTTATATAAACAACAGAATTCACAATAAAATATACCTGTGAATTTGCAAATTAACTGAACTGAATAAATTTACACCAAATGTTTGTGTTCTATTCTAAAGGTCTAATTTGGTCACTTTGTTTGGTTATTTATTGATGTTTGATATATCTACTACTATATCATGCAATTTATAAAATATATTTCAAAAACATCGCTTTTTGTTAAAATCATTACCTTTTGATGTTAATTGCATTTATTACATTATTATTGAAATTTTACATAAGGATAGTATAAATTGAATCCATTTATATTTTGTTTTGTAATTAAAACTTTTTCTGCACATTTCAATTTAAATGTTGATGTTACTTGTGTTCCACTCGTGATTTTAAAAACATCTATTGAAGGTGAAAGATGCTTTCCATCATAACATATTTTCATGGAGTATTTTAAATGATCAATTCTTGGTAGTATATTTACCAAATTTGGCCCATATATAAATTTAGTATTTCTAAGTATGTTAAGAGCATTAAATATTTTAAACTGTAATTCATAATCAATTCTTGGTTGTACACATGGTGACATTATATTACATGGTATACAAAAAACTTGCATCAAATCAGTGGGTATTGATGATATCATTGTAATAGCTCTCGGAAACTCAAAAAGAAGAAGATTTTGTGTAGTCTGTATTTTAGTTGTAGAACATTCCACCAGTGATAATGTTCCAACAATTGGAGTTGAAGTTGATGGTATATCTGATATTTCTTCATGAGCTCCACTACCATTTACAGAAACTTTAAATGTTGGATTAGTTAATGATTGATCTGTATTTATAGTAGTGGAACTTTCTTTAGATGAAACCAATTTTAGGTCCAATATTATGTCTTTTGGTACTGTTTGAAATTGTAATACTACATCACCTTGGTCTACCATACCCATAAATGGAATTCCTAAAATATTAAACTAATTTATTCCTACTGTTTTTAGTCTAAACTAACTAAAATTAAAAAAATTTTAAAACTAATAGTTTAAATTATATTATTAAATGGTTAAGATTTAACTCCAAATATTTTGTTATTTCTTAAAATTTTAAAAATATAATAAATTAACTATGTATCTTATTTCCTTCTATATACTAAAAATTATTTTCTAAACAAAAAATTAATTACTATGAATATAAACTATTATATAATAAAAAATATTTTGAAAAAACCAATACTATAACAATATATTTTGTTTAATATTAGGTATAACATAAAATATACTATCTATCACAAAGCATATATATAAGGTAACATAATCTTTTGAAATATGATTTATCATAATAATGTTGTAAAATTCAAAAATAAACCCCAAAATAATTTAGAACACTTATAAACTAACATAGTTGAATACATTTGATTTTTGTTTTGAACAAACTCAAACAAAGTAATTATTTGTAAATAGAATTTTAAGTCCTTAATTATTCCATTACATATCTTCTTTAGTTCTAACTAAAATTTTAATATTATTTTTTTAAAACTTACCTGAATATACACTTGGAATAGTTGATGACTTTGCTGTTGTGATTTTATGATCCTAAAAAATAAATACATTTAAAAAATCATATTATTTGTGAGACAATGATCAAGGAAAATTTAAAAATCTGTAACTTATAACATAACACAATGAATATTTATACATGAAATCTATTATAGAATGGAAAAACTCAAAGCTTCGAACAAATATATAATATGCTGTTCTTTTTGTACCGTTATAAAATGTTTTCACACAGTTGAGTTGTAAAGATATTCTATCATTTGGATTTGTTCTAAGTAACGAACAAATCAGAGCAATATCAATTCCATTTTTGTAAACATCAATACTGTTAAATAAATTATTTTTTCAATTCAATTCAATAAAATAATTTATCAATATAATCATATCCGAAATAAAAAAAGCTGTATGCTAGGAGTGGTCAAAATATCTATCTAAAACACCCGCCTTCTACATCAAAATTTGATAAATCTTAACTTTAATCTTAATCTGAACCTGAACTTTATCTAACCAAAATCTAAAAAACCTGCACATATAATTAAAATCAAACTTATCAAAAACAGTTATGACAATTGATGAATAGAAAACAGGATACTGAATAGCAGAACTCTAACAAAGATGTTTTAGTAAAGCTGCAGCTTAACTAAGAGCCTAGATATCCTGGTTCCTGGACTACAACTAGTGAATACTATTATGATTAAATACTCTATAAATAGAAAATGAGAAATCACCCAGAATATGGCCATACAGTACAGTCCATCTCTAACATAATAAAAATTTCCCTTTCGGTGCCTTTAATGGAACAACAAAAGAACCCTACTAAACTATTGACAATGCAGCCAAATGGATAAGAACACTCAACATCCAACTGTAGATGCCTTTTTATTGTTAACTTGCAATAATTCCCCTTAGAATTAACCTTAAAACTTGATAGAATTGAATCTAGTCTCTAACGCTTGCATACCATACTACTATTGATAATAATAATAATTAAGACATCATCACAGCTTCACAATTCTAACATCATAAATTGCTCAAACACCAAATACTAAGTAAGATTTTAAAAGAAAATATGAAAATGACAAGATATTGAAAAAATAAAAATAAATGAAATGAATCTCACACATTAAAAATAAAAGTTGCAGTACATGAAACAAATTAGTGTATTTTATTTAAATGGTAAATTGTTAAATGTTTAAATTAGTGGACTGCTGAATATAGCAGAATTGTTTTACTATCCATTACTTTATTAATAAGCATTATAATATTTAAGAATTAAAAAGAATGTATGGCAGAATAATGTAGCTTAAATTAATATTTACTTTGTATAATTTCATCAATTGTTATAATTTTTACAATAGATATTAATGGAGCAACTTATAAATGCATGAATAGGAGTGTTCAGAAAAATTCAAATATTATTTAACCAACTCAAAGTGCAGATAATATTAAATACATTATGGAACAAAATCTTATTCTACCTAATGAAATAGAACTATTTTTCTAGTTGCATAACAATAGTTATTGAATATATTGATAAAAGAATGATTTTTAATTAATTCAATTTACAGCTCATTTCTAAACCCCATGATATTGAATTTTTAATTCATCACTGTAAATTCAATTAATTCTTATTAAATATTTGGTTATAACTTTATATTTACAATACTAAATGAATAATAAACTTACTAGTCATTAATTTACTATGGGAATAATTAAATAATGACGCTAATTGCTTTTGCATTGTATTTAATTAACAAAAATAATTCATCTCTTGGTTAATAAGCATAGAAAACTCAAATTTATAATAATAAAACATGTTTGTAATTTTATAACCACTTTTAATAAAGTAAGTACAGTTTTGTTTTATTTTATTATTGTTATTAATTAGGTACTATTATAAAAATTGTGATACATGTTTAGGCTCCAAAAATCCCAAATAGCAGCTTTATATTCTAACATCTAAATTAAAATTAAAATTTAACTTTTGAAAACAAAAGGAAAAAACATACCTATTTAATAAAAAAACCATTGAATTTATACTTTATTATTTCATTATTCCATTAGTTACAATTGAGTATAATAAATAAAAACTATTTATCCACTTCAATACATCTAAGGTATATTTATAAAAACAATATGGTTACATTATTTCATTACAATACCAGTAAGTCACTGATAAAACTATAAAAATTTTACCCCTTTAATCTATACTTTGTATAACAAGAAAACACGCCAATTCTGTGCACCACCAATAAACACTGTACTATCAAGACTCAAGATTAGCTCTAACATGACAGGGTATCATGTGGTGATGCGCAAAATAACTAATTTTTATTAGGCCTCAATGTGTTCTCTTGTTAGACAAAGTGTAGATAGTAAATACTAATAAAATATATTTAAAAAATATCTTACCTGCTGCAATTTTTCATCACCTAAAACAAAATTAATATTATTATTAGTATAATGTACTAATGCTATATTTTTTATAGTATTTATAATACAAAACTCAACAAAACTTTAATTAATTTAATGTTAAGTATATGTTAACAGAAAGTTATTTATTAATAAGAACTTAATTAGTTTTTACGTGTTTTATTAGTTATTTATTTACTAAGTATAGAATATTTATTAATAAAAGTCTAAATAAAGAATTAGCTTTTCTGCCAGTGTTGACTGACCTAATTTAGAAAAATTATGATTCTACTAGATTGATAATTGAGGTAGTTTTTAGGAAAAAATAGTTTTATTGAAGAATACCTATTGCTATTGGATAAATAATTATATTTCAAAATGTTATTTGTACAAAACTGAAAAATGCTTACTATAAATAATTATTTCTACCTATATATATATATTTAAATATTTTATATACCATATACAACTATATATATTTTTTTTTACATAGCTTTGTTCATGTTGGGTTATATTTTCATTTATATAAGCACAATGTACAACAATTTTAAACAATACTAAATATTTAAATTTATTGACTTTTTATTATTTTTTTGTAAGCAATAACATTAATTTTTAGTCGAGTTCATCAACATACAAGTTTTTTTACACATACCGCAGTATATATGACAGCACTGCCATTGATTAATCCAAGATGCTCCAACATGTATTAACCAATTATTTATTATAAATTCTTGATTGTTTATAACAATAAACAATTGAAATAGATTTAAAACTTACACTATGAAAAAGAATTGCATAACAATAATTAGATAATCAGTTCCAGGAATCATTTGTTACAAAGAAAGATTCATATTTATACGAAATACATAGAAAAATGTTTAACTGTTAATAAGCACAATTAAGTTTAAAATTTATAATATTCATATGTATAATGATATGTATAAGATATTAATAAGAATTAAATAAAAATAATAAGTAAGTATTACAAACAAAAATTATTAGTAATTAATTTTATTGTACTTTTATGAATTTATAAATATAATTATCCAATCTATTAATTTTTATTTAGACATCTAGCTCTAAACATATTATGCTACATTTCCATATACATGCTCATTTTTTTATTTAATGATGATTTCATTCAAATTCTGATTTTTGTCATTTATTATACTACTAAGTGGCTTATGACGATATTAACTTCTATTTTTCAAATTTTTCCTTCTCTTATTTATAATATAAATTATCTAGTGGATAATTGTTTTAAAAATATTTTGTGAATTACTCCGTGAGTATGGTCAAAATAAAGTATTAATAAATACTGCATAAAAATTTTTGTTAATGCATAGGAAATTAAATCATATTTTTGATTTTAAATAAATATATTTTGTTTTACCTTTTAGCGCTAAAAATAATCAACTTATAAAATAAATTTTACACCAATGTTAAAATATTCTAATTTTGAAAATTGTTATGGATTTTATAGCTTAATAAATGGTTCCTTTAATCTCTGAAATACTAAAATACTAGTAGTTTAAATTGCAATATTTATAATGAATGTCTAACAATACAATTTCATCTATAAACAAAAATTTATTGGTATAATACATTATAATAATTGCATCACTATAATAAACAAGTTATTGTTATATTAAAACTACTATTACTAGGAAATTGCACAAAACCAATAAACTTAGTTTTAAGTATATGCTTCTCACACTAGAAGGTATGTAATACACACTTTATGGTGTCTGTACACGAATAGTTGTATATAACGTTTAATATTAACATATGTGATCAAATTACAATTAACCCAGATCATGTTTTACACATCGCAATTAATGAAATTTTAATTTATTTATTCTTCCACTTGATAAAAAGTGTTTATAGAGTATGGTTACACAGACAAACAACTTAATATTATTATTTTCTGGCCAAGCCTAGACAGAATTAACAGTTTTACCCAATATGTAATAGGTATTAATCATAAAACTACAACATTAGGTATGTTACCTAGGTAATTTGTTGTTTAAATAGGAAGGTACTGTAACACTTACTCATTGTAATGAAGCGTATTGACTCGACTTAGAGTCAAGAGTTTAGAGTTGCAAACGATATGTATAGTAGGTACCGTGGAAAAAAAGGTATCTAACAATGCGAATACTATAAAGCCTTAACAATTAACAGAAAAACACTAAACACTAAACGACGAGTATGCAAAAGCTACAAGCGGACGTTGGTTTTTATAAAACATCGAAATTAGTATGAGAAGTTTGGCAATTCGGCAAAATCCGCTAGGAGCTAACCGAGCGCTGGTGACTGGTAAGTCACAAAATAATCATCATCAAAAATGTCACTACACCGTTTGATTTTTGTTGTTTATGGTAGAAACGATAAATGAAAAGAACAAATTAATATGCCCTTTACCAATATAATTATCCTGAAAGGTGTCTAGGCACTCGGATTCCGAGCCTCGGATCCCGACTGCCAAGTTATTATGATTTTCCGATCATAGATAATAATATAAATAAAAAACTATACATATTACATATCATATTATACTATTACCGTAGAACGATGTATTGGTATTATTACTATGCTTCATAGTTTCTTGGTTCCTTATCACAACTTAAGATAACTTCTATAATCGTTATCAATGTTTTCCCGCCATTTGGCTATCTTGGTGTCTTGGTAATACCACACCACAATATAGCACACAACGTGGAATTTTTAATTCAATCAATGTATCTGACAACTTTCACAAGCTCTCCATGAAAGCACGATTTAAGTAAAATAATATGGATACGTGAGTATTACAATAAATTAGTCGAAGTGTTAGACGATAGGACTTAGACACTACTTAATAATTTATTATTTACCTACTGCAGCTACAAGAATTCACTACTTGGACGTCCCCAGAAATTTTTCTAGGAAGAGAGCAAAATTAATTTAAAAAGTAAATGAACATTTTATATACACAATTCTTTTTTATTTAATACAAATAATTGCAATCTACGTGGACATTCTCTACCAAATTGTATCGTAATAAAATGTTTAAAGTTAAAATAAATTATGGTATACCTATCGTATTACTACGGTGCAAAAATGTCTATGGAGTTGTAAATATATAGACAATTATCCACATTATATGTCTAGTACCTAAAATTGGGTGCATGAGTGTAAAAAGAAAGTTAAAGTTTGTGTGTGTAAACTGTGAAGTTCCGCGAAACTTCAAACTATTACAATGATAAAATAACATCAGTTGCAAATGTTAGAGGACGTTGTGGGAATCACCTCTTTCCTAGATCTATATGTGTATGATATGAATATATTATATATATTAACGTATAAAAAGTATAATTTATCTGATTTTATATCATGAAAATTTATATAAATCAAACATTTTATGAAGTGTATAAAAATTTGCGATTATTATATTTCAAATATTTTGAAAAATCCTTATTAATACTGATCTCCTTTTGGATTAGTGGTTATAAAAGAAAAAATTATTAAGCAATGGCTCAGTGACAAAGTTGGAGATCAGTCAACTTGTAACTAATTATTGATATATAATTTTTTAAATGAATTGAGTAGGTACCTAGTTTATTCTCTAGTTTTTTTTAAAATAGTGACTATTAATTACTTCAGCCAATACACTTTTATCATAAAAAACTATAAATTCTAAGTACTTATAAACTGCTATTTATATTCATTCAATATTTGTAAAATCAACGTTTTAAAAAAAGATACAGTGCTCCATAGAATAAAATTAAAAAGATGGATAAGTAGGTAACTAGATACTGTTCTGCTGTAGATATATAGATATTATTAATATCAAATCAGTGAAGCGTGGGTCAAATTTTAGTTTTGACATCTTAAAAATACAAATTAGATCCAATTTTCAATCAGACACCACTCATATGAAGATAAAATCATTTTTTTCAATGTGTCAATTTTTTATACTGAAATCAAATGAAATCATCACTAATCACACATTGACCTCACTTAGAAATTAGAAAAATAATGTAATTATTACGTCGATATTGTATAATAAAATTTACATCAATTCTCTGAAACGTGCTGTTAAGGGAAGATTTTGAGTGTTCTATCCAACCTCAAATTACATACCAGAGTCATAAATATAAAATTTGAACATTATTATCAACGTTAAATTTAAATTTGGAATATCTTTTTGTGTATCAAAAATATATCATATAAGTAGTTGTATAAAATACATAAATATTAACTTTTCATTATTTTCGATTTTAAGTATACAATAGATTATTTTTTCAACAACAATTCTATCAAATAAAATTCCAATAATATATACAAATATACAGTGATTATATGTATTTATACATGATATTTTATATATTATATAATATAGAAACTATAACATTTAAAAATTTGCTATAAAATTATTTATTTATGTTGTAAGTATTAACCATTATTATTATTTACTTACATACATAAATTGATCTCCTTGTTATAAAGATTGCAAACTTCCTAAATACTTGTGTTAAGCATATTGATGAGTTCTTAAAGAATTTTAAATAGTTACATTGGTATATTTTTTTATGATGGATAACGAAATAAAAAAAAATAAAACCTGATTTATAAAGTAAAATAAAAATAATATTAAACTTTGATAAACTTTGCGCGTGAACTGTATTACAATAATAACAAATTACATTTTAAAACAGTATTTAAATTAGGCTTAAAATATAATGTTTAAAATGTGTATAGCTAATATAATAAATAGTACCTATTAATTCTTACAAAATACGTTTACAAAATATCACACCACCACTTTCAGCATTTAATTCCAAATATATTTATTACTATTTTATTTAATAATAATATATAAATAATATTATTTTCTTACAAGCTTGATGTTATAATAGTTATAATATATAAATGTACCATGATGCATTATTGTTTTATAAATTATAAACCTCTACATAAAATTTTCAATATTTTTGATTCAAATATTAGATATTGGTATATTATTTAAGATTTACGTAAATTAATTTATAAATAAATAAAATAATTTACATATATTAGTGTATTTTCTATTGCAATCAAAAATCAATATTCAACTTTAAATGTATAATCCACTCTTATATATATATAATACTTAAAATTAAAAAAATTATATTTCTAACTTAATATAACAGAGTTTGTGCCTTAAAATATTATGTATATTTGTTAAAGTTAAATTTTACAGGAGAGCAACTTTGTCGTCATAACATTTTTAGTATTAACAGAATAATATATAATATTGTGTATCTTTTCTATATTTACATGGTATAATATAAAAAAAAAATGTTTATAAATGTATATCCCTAGTGACTTGTCAGTTGATTTAATTAGTTGATTAAATTAAATTTCATTCTTCTTAAATATACCTATCAATGAAATTATGAAAATTATTTTTTTTTTATAATCGTGTTCTATATTATTAAGTAACTAGTGTTGATTTGTGATCAAAGTAATAAAATAATGGATGATTTATCAACGTTAAATTTAAGATTGTGTTAAGAGTTTGTTATAAGTTTTATCAGTTATCACTTATTATTTAGACCCTTATTTTTCATTTATATGATTTTGTGATAAATTATAGCGTTTATAATTTGTATAAATATGTGAGTACATATTAGCATATTTTCTTTTTATCAAGAACTATGGGTACAAATTAATAATAACATTAGGTACTACTATAATTTAAAAAATATATTTTCAAAAAAAAAAATTTTTAAAAATTTAATCGATTCCACGTATTTTTCTCTATGGAGCCTATATTTTATGGCTATAATTTTTTTTTTTTTATTATTTTTTTTAAACAAATACTATATATGAAAGCTACTATAGATCATACAATTGTATTTTTCAAACTTGAAATCATAGTAAAAATTAAATTGTTATTTTCAAAAATCTGTAAGATCCATTTTTAGTAAGAAATCTTAAATATAAATAATTAAAAATTATAAAAAGTCCAACTATTTCCAATCAGTGTCCTAGCATATTGGTAGTTACGGAGTTATGTAGTTTTAAAATGTAAATAGAAACATTTATTTCCTTAGAGGCAGTTAAACAGTTTTCTACTCGTCCCAAAATTATGTAATTATTACATTGTAATATGTAATAAGTAATAACTAATAACCTTTATTTTTACCTTTATATAGTTTTATAGTTTAAATATAAATAAATGTACATTTATCAAGGATATTATCAAAAAGCAAGTGACATTTTTCTGAAAGAGAAAATATTAATACATGTTAAATATCCTGTTTACAACGAAATAATTTGTAGAACTTCATACTATATACTTTTATTTAATGAAAATAGTTATCCTCAAAGGACTCAATATCTAATATAGTTCTGTAAAAAGGATAAGATAAATTAAATCTCGTTTTTGATTTCTCTTTGAGTTTCGAAAACTAAATGTTCGATGTCGTTTAATTTAATGTATAAGTACCTACCTACATTATATTTATTGACAAACATACATTTACACTATAATGTAAAAACGAGAAAAATAGGAGGTATAAATAAGATAAAGGGGTGACTTTAGAATATTTATTTCTGCACTTATAAGTGCTGGAAAATATAACCCTTGCCAGATACTAATATTATGAATTCACGTTATTACCTTCCTTCTGATCTTCGGAGAGTTCTCGAAGCCGTATAGTCGAGAATTTAATCAATAGTACCTACACTGTAGTCTGTAATGTAAATTTAATATATAAACTATAATAAAGATATGTAGGTAGTTTATTATAATCATGCACCTTACCAGTTTCGCTTCAGTGAATATATTATACTTGTTAGGAAAAAATAGGGTGACACAAATAAAAATACAACTCTCTGCAGAACTACACTTGAGTCCATGCAAATAAAAACATCACTAGTTTAGCTTCTTGAAAAGAAAATTCCAATTGTCGCTCGCAGAACTCTGTGTTGAGAGGTGTTGCTCGAGTGGTACTTAAGTATGCATACGAGTACACTGACGAAAAAAACGATGTGGTCAATCCAACCAGAAAAGCTAGCGGCTTCATCAAAAGCATCTGCGTTCCCACAGATCTAGCCTTATCCTTGACGGTAGAGACCTTTGTTCGGCCTCCCCAGTTTCTGGGGGCACACCAGAAAGTCACACGCCTTGTGCCTTATTGTTACCAACAGACAACACGTGTCAATTTCTATGTGATCTTAACAATGTGAATCTTTTATCAGCGATGAAAGAGTTATATTAGAATTAACCGTTATCTGCGTGCGACAACTTGACCGTTATTTATTTATATTTAAGATATATATATATAATTATATGTCAACATATCATTACAATAATATTGTACAATATAAAATATTTTTCTGATTTTTAATGTATAAAAATTAAACATCGAACTAAAA